TTAACTCTTCCCTGTGTATCCTTCTTCCCCTTACATGCGCAAAGTTAACTGCTCCCTCCTTGGCATTGCTCCAAGAATGTAGTTCACACCTTCGACAGCAAATAGCATCATCATGACAGAGGTACCTGCTATTGCTTATCAGTCTTTTCCCCGTGCTGCAGTGTGGACAGCAGCGGCCATTTGTGCAACCCTGAGACCCAGCGCAGGGTCCCGCACCTAGTAGGTGTTCAGCTCATGTTTGTGAAAATGAAACATTTGTTTTGCTTTGCTTCTGGTTCTTTGTTGGCTGTAGTGGATGACCATGTGAAACGCACAAATAACACAACTGAACCTATGTGTAGAATCGCTATGCCGTAAAACACTGTTGCTAAACTAACTCTTTTAATTCTATTTTAGATCAGTTTGTTAATCTTAGACTTTTGTCTGCAGGTTGAATTAGCTACAACTGGAGGCAAAATTAAAAAGTAATCACCAAAATTATCTTTAGCTAATGTTCTTGGTAAAGGAAAGTGTGCTGCATTCCAAGAAGGGAATCTTTTGCCCAACTTACTATTTGGTTTAAGTACCCATGTTTAGCAGAATCCTAGTTCTTCTCTGCACTTGGAAAAAAAAAATAAATGTCTTTTTTCTTCCCTTTTGGACTATATGTGACTACGAAAGTGGTGGTTATCCTAGACTGCCACAGTCCAGCAGAAATTTCATTTGAGCCACAAATGTGAGCCACACATGTAATTTCAAATTTTTAGTGGCCACATTTAAAAATATGAGAAGCAACAAGTGAAATTAATTTTAATAATATATGATTATATTGAAATTGTTCTATACCCAGTTTCTGATGTGGGTGAGAGGGGAGGAAGTTCCCCACACCAACAAGCAATTCTCAGACACCAGAAGGGCATCTGAGAATTCAGCTCGGTCTCCCTGAAGATAGCATCAGATCCCACAGGCGAAGGGCTCAGTCCCACAAGACCACCCTCCACTTCCAAAGCCAGTCACAAGCCAAGGCTGTTACCCGTGCTTCTGACCAGCTGGCTACATATTAGAGGTTCCCATGACCCCCTCCTTGGGTCTGATGAATTTGCAAGAGCAGCTCACGGAACTCAGGAAATGCATTTGCTTACTAGATTACCAGTTTATTATAAAAGGATATAACTCAGAAACAGCCAGATGAAAGAGGTGCATAGGGCAAGGTAGGAGAAAAGGGTGTTGAGATCCCTCTCCAGGCATGCTGCTTTTCCCCAAATCTCCATGTATTCCCCAACCTGAAAGCATTCCGAACCCCATTCTGGTAGGTTTTTATGGAGGCTTCATAAATATAGGCTTTGTTGATTACACCAGGCAATTAAATCAGTTGATGCCTTCAATCTCCCTCTCTTCTTTCCTTCTGAATCAGGGGTGGGACTAAAAATGCCAATCCTCTAATCCGTGGGCCGGCTTCCCCACAAGTCCTCTAAATTCACCTCGTTAACAAAACAAAAGGCACCTGTATGAATCTCATCACTTAGGAAATTGCAAGGGTTTTAGGAGCTCTGTGCCAAACACAGACCAAAGACCAAATGTATGTATTTCTTATTATAAATCACGATATCGCAATTTTTAACCCCATCCATCCAAATATTATCCTTTAACGTGCAATCAACATAAACTTATATTCATGTGCTATTTTACATTCATGTTTGTACCAAGTCTTTGAAATGCAGCATGCATTTTACACTGAATAGCACATTTCCATTCAACCTTAAATGGCCAGTCACTATCATATTGGACAGAAAGTTCTAGTTAGCTAACATTCACTGAGATTTTCTGAGTGCTGCGTGCTCTGCATTCTGCCAATTAATTCGCACAACTCTGAAGTCGATGCTGTTGGGCTCTTTTTACAAATAAGCAAAGGGAGCCTGGGTGGCTTAGTCTGTTGGGCATGGACTCTTGACTTCGGCTCAGGTCATGATCCCAGATTGAGCCCGGGGTCAGGCTCTGCGCTGAGCATGGAACGTGCTTCGGATTCTCTCCCTCTCTTGCTCTCTGCCCCACCTGCCTTTTCTCTGTCTCTAAAAAAAAAAAAAAAAAAAAAGAGCCAATTGAGGCTTAAAGAGCTTAGACTTTTTGCTGAGGACAGCTAGTGGGTGTGGTGGAGCTGGGTCTGGGCCATGGGGCTTTGACTTTGACTTCAAAATAGTGTACTGAACTAAAATGCTAGCCATCACAAGAGGCAGCCTGACAGATTCTGAAACATTTACTAGAAGATACTGAAGATTAGACACAGGGGTGGAGACTGCTTAACAGCAGGTCACAAGGTGTCTGGAAACATGTTTGAAAGAGGGAACATTTTTTTTTTGAGGAGGAAGAGGAAACATTTTGAAGCAAAATGTTGGGCGAAGGAGCACTATTACTTTGCCCATTAAGACACTACCACCCAGATCCTATGTAGCTCATTTTTTCCCTGCCAGGATGTCTGTTTGGCAGCCATTTGATTGCCACATACTTAGAACAGAGACTTCTCTTCCTTCCATTTTCAACTTCCATCTGCTACAAGAAGTTTGGGTAAAAGTATATGCTACAGTGACTGGTACGAATTAAGCTAGAGTCTCTGAACAGCCCTGATGCCACGGCTTTGTTATAAAGGTCTGTAAAATATTATCCTGGTGTCATGGATTGTACAAATGTGCACAAATGGCAGCTTCCTCCTTTTCCTTCACACAGTGTTAAAAATGAGTAAAATATGTTTCCCATTGCACTTCCCTTGTGCTTGGGGACTCAGTGAACTCATTTTAAGTTTCCACGTCTTTATAGAAATGTTTTGTTTTTACTGAAATATGTTTTTGATCAAGAACATAATTTCACGATTGCGTGTATGTTTCTGAAACCAGTATGTATACGGAACAAGTGCACGGAGGGGCGCTCGGGCTCTGGTGGCTGATTCCAGGACTGGGTGTTCTTGAGTCTAACCTCAGCCTTACTGTTAACGTGGTAGATGATCTTAAGAGAAGCAACCGAGCTCTACCCTTACTAATCGATCTCTTGTTCTGTTACTCTCTCTCATTTCTGAGGAATGCGAGCACAACTGACCAATGTCAATCATTTCATCGAAAGAAGAAATTCAACTCTTAAATTCTTGAGCTGTCATAAATTTCAAGCAAGCTCCACAACAGCCTTAATTCTTTATGACACTTTTGAATGCGTGGCTCATTGTTCCTCACATGTTACCTGAATATTGAGTTAGATGGTTTTGCTTACCTTCCCTCCTCCTGCACCATAAACTTTGTGAGGCAGGTACAGTTAATGCTAGCATTGATAACAATAATCATTTATATTTAAGAAACACTTTCTGGATGCTTTATGAACTGCTTTACACACATCTAACTTAATTCTGATGGCAGTAGAGGTAGATACGATCTCCATGTTATGAATGAGAACAGTGGTGTGCCCAAAGTGGCTGAGTCAGAACCTGAATCAAGGTGAGTCTAATCCCACCAATGCTTGTAACAGGTAGGTTATACACTGCCATGGATAAGAAGATATTCCAATCCTGTGCCAGATTTACAGAGCTAGTTCTTGGTAGTCTTATAATGAAAAGCCCGAGCTCTCAGCTCTCACACCAGTACGTTTCCTGCTGTGTTACACATTTCATAGTGCTTCAGGGAAGGAAAAAAGCAAATCAGTAAAAACGGCTAATCCTTGCTTTTCATCTTTCTCTACCTTTTAAAATTACTCCTATTATCCTTTTTGTTTGTTTGTTTGTTTAATTGAGGTGAAATTCACATAACATAAAATATTTTTAAGTGAACAATTCAGCAACATTTGATACCTTCACAATGTTGAATAATCACCAAGTCTACCTAATTCCAAAATATTTCTATAATTCTGGAATAAAACCCCCGACCCAATAAGAGGTTTCTCCCTCATTCTGCATGCCTCCAGCCCCTGGAAAACATCAATCTGCATTCTGTCTCTATGGATTTACTTGTTCTGGAATACTTCATGTAAATGGAGTCATACAATATGTGACCTTTTGAATCTGGCTTCCATCAATTAACAGTGTTTTCAAGGTTCCTCCACACTGTTGCATGTACTGTAGTAGCAGTTCTTCATTGCTGTTTATGGCTTAATAATATTCTACTGCATGGATAAAACCCTGTTTGTTTTTCCATTCATTCAGTGATGGACATTTGCGCTGTCTCCACCTTTGGCTATTGTAAATAGTGTAACTGTAAACATGCATGTACGTGTACCTGTTTTCGATTCTTTTGTCAATAAAGGAATAGAATTGTGGAGTCACAAGATATCGCTATGAACTTTTGGAGGAACTGCCAAACTTTACCACATCAGCTGAAGCATTTTGCATTCCAACCAGCAATGTAAAGTGTTGCTGTTTCTCCACATCCTTGCTAATACTTATTTTGTTTTTCATTATTATAGCTCAGCTAGTGTATGCTAGTGTATGCTAATGGTACCACAGTGTGGGTTTTATTTACATTTCCCCAGTGATTACTAATGTTGAGAATCTTTTCATGTGCATGTTGGCCCTTTATACATTCTTTTTAGAGAATTGTCTGTATGATGTTTTTGGCCATTTTTTATTGGTTTCTTTCACTTCCTGATGTTGAGTTGTGAGAATTATTTACATATTCTGGATACCACATTTTATCAGGTATATGATTTGAAAATATTTTCTTCATCCTGTCGGTTGTATAGACTTTTTTGATAATGTCCTTTGATGTATAAAAGGTGTTTTAAATTTTGAAGTCCAGTTTATCTATCTTATCAATTTATTTATTCATTTTCCTTTTGCTCATCATATTTTGGGTGTCATTATCTAAGCCTCTATGGCTAAATTTAAGGCCAGGAAGATTTTACCTGTATATTTCCTTCTAAGAATTTGATGGCTCTAGGTCTTATATTTAGGCCATTAATTCATTTTGAGTTACTTTTTGTATGTGGTGTCAGGTAGGGTTCCTGTTTATTCCTGTTTACTTTTGTTTGTTTGTGTTTTTCCTTTCTAGGGACTCTCGGAAGCAAGGGACTACACATTTTTAACCTCACTTCTCTAACCAAGTCTGAAAACATTTTATCTGCCACACTGTATTTCTATGTCGGAGAGCTGATAAACATCAGCGTAAGCTGTCCAGTGTCTCGAGGATGCTCACATCATGCTCAGAGGAAACACGTTCTGATTGATCTCTCTGCATGGATCCTCAAATCTGACAGAAACCAAAGTCAACATCTCGGTCATCTTTCAGTAGATGTGGCCAAATCTCATCGAGACTTTGGGTCCTGGCTGTCTAAAGACATTACTCAACTCTTGAAAAAGGCCAAGGAAAATGAAGAGTTCCTCATAGGATTTAACATTACCTCCAAAGGACACCAGCTGCCAAAGAAGATGCTACCCTTCCCCGAGCCTTATATCTTGGTGTATGCCAATGATGCTGCCATCTCTGAGCCGGAGAGTGTGGTCTCAAGCTTGCAAAGACACCGGAATTTCCCCATTGGAGCTGTGCCTAAACTGGATAGTCATATCAAGGCGGCCCTTTCGACTGAACGGAGAAAGAAGCGCTCTGCTGGGGTCCTGCTGCCTCTACAGAACAATGAGCTTCCTGGGGCAGAATATCAGTATAGGGAGGATGGGGTATGGGAAGAGAGAAAGCCTTACAAGACCCTTCAGACTCAGGCCCCAGAGAAGACTAAAAACAAAAAGAAACAGAGAAAGGGACCTCACCAAAAGAGCCAGACACTCCAGTTTGATGAGCAGACCCTAAAGAAGGCCAGGAGAAAGCAGTGGATTGAACCTCGGAATTGTGCCAGGAGGTACCTTAAAGTGGACTTTGCGGATATTGGCTGGAGTGAATGGATTATCTCCCCCAAGTCCTTTGATGCCTATTATTGCTCCGGAGCATGCCAGTTCCCCATGCCAAAGGTAGCCATTGTTTTCTGTCCTATACTTCTGGATTCTGTAGAGGAGAAAGACACACTGACCAAGTGTGTGTTTTCATTTCTGAGATCCATCTGGACACTTGTTTCTTGCATTCTAACATGTACTAGACAATAATGGTTATGCTTGGTTTTTCTTTAATGGTTGTTAAGGTGATATGAAGTCAGTACTGGTATGAGGAAGGATATGAGAAAAGACGTATGTGTAAAATATGTGTTTTGTGCTTCTTCCAAACACAGTGTGCAATCAGCGATGTGGTCTATTCAGCTGTGTGCAAATCTTTATCTGCCCACAATAAGCAAGCTGCAAATGACAGAAGGCTGATTGATATTGGAGAGGCTGATATTGGAGAGGCTATTCAGAGAATGACTAGATGTCATGGGGAAAAGGAAGGGGAAGGACTAATTGTATCCATGCCCTATGCAGAACATTTTTTGACAAATAGTTTCTCATGAGATAAACTCGCCCTACAAGGGTCAAGATCAGGGCTGGGCCAGGTAAACTCACCTCATGAAATCCACCAGATGCTTATTTCATTTGCTTCCCTAATAAACATCAAAAAGAAAGGTAAAATAGGGATATGGTAACTCTATAAGCTTCTTCCCAAACTTATTTCAGCTGGTCAGAGCTTATCCGTGTCTCCTCCAAATTCAGTGGCAACCGTACTGTATCATGTTGGTACCAAGTATTCTGATGAAAATATTCTCGGAAGCTTCCACAATCCCACCTCTGCCTTGCACAGCAAATCCAAGTAACTATTCTCTTTGAAATTAGAGTTAGTAAATCACAGTGGTGCCCTCTGGCATTCAGTTAAGCTTATCTCTGAACCTCTATTCTTAGCTTTTATCAATTTGAATCTCTGACATACAATGCAAAGGAGCTGTCGGAATAGAATTCAGAGAAAGAATAGAGATGGATTTTTTGTTCTTTTTCTCAAAACTAGAAGTGAATCAACTTTTGCTGCTGCGTGATAATGGAGAAAAAAATCTTTTGCTTCGAAGAGTGAGCAACTTCTACTTATAGATCTTTAAAGTATCATGTTCATGTTCTAGTCCCACGATCATTGGGATGTTTAACGGAACACATGCATAAAGATCTGACTGAACAAGGCCAGGTCAGCCTCAGGGCCAGGAACTTGATTGGAATCTCATTTTCTTGTTAGGATGTCTCAGAAGAAAAAGCATTCTACGTCTTCTAAGACTTGTCTTTCCCAAGGATTTTTGTCAATTCCATGTTATGTATATCTAAACACAAAGTAAGAATTATTATACACTTACTATGATATAAACAGCCTTGTCTTGTTTAAATATTGATAAAGGGTAGATCACTGTGAAACAAAACTTTTGCCAACTGGGATAGCATGTATTATTATTTTTAAATTGTGTTCGTGTTTAGTTATTTTTGAGAGAGACAGAGAGAGGAAGACAAAACACAAGCGGGGAAGGGGCAGAGAAAGAGAGACCGAATCTGAGGCAGGCTCCAGGCTCTGAGCTGTCAGCACAAATCCTGGCGTGGGGCTCAAACTCACAAACCATGAGATCATGGCCTGAGCCAAAGTCAAATGCTTAACCAACTGAGCCATCCAGATGCCCCGGGATGGTATTTAAAAACAGACCACAAAGATGCAGAATGTAACAGTGATGAATCTTACAGTGTGGGGTTGCTCTGTGGCATTGGGAGGCAAATGAACTCACAATCTGTCTCTAAGTGGGTCTGATTTTTAAGTGGGTCTGTGAGTTTTCCAAATAATCTCTCATACTCATAAACTGTAATTTCTTCTATGAGGCCTGGGGAAGGAATTTGCCTTCCTGACTCCAGATTTTCAGACCCAGGGAGCCATGACAATGTGGAGCTCTTCAGTGAGTTTTCAACTACTCACTCTGGAGACGTGGTGTGGTCTCCACTCTGCCACAGTTACCCCAACTTGCCCCTTCCATCTTGCTTTGACTCTTCAAAACCCTGCCGTTGCTTTGGTAGTTCAGAGATCCAAAGAATAATTATTTAAAAAGCTTGTGAGGGCGGACGCCTGGGTGGCTCAGTCAGTTAAGCGTCTTACTTTAGCTCAGGTCATGATCTCTTGGTCTGGATTTGAGACCAATGTCGGGCTCTGTGCTGACAGCTCAGAGCCTGGAGACTGCTTTCAGATTCTGGGTCTCCCTCTCTCTCTGCTCCTCCTCCACTTGCTCTCTCTCTCTCTCAAAAATAAATAAGCATTAAACAATTTTTTAAGCCTTATAGGGAAAAGTTAAGAATAACAGAGATAAGTCTAAGGAGGGAAGTGTGTTAGTGTGGCAGAATGATTAAATGTAATGCTTGGTCATAGCCAGGCTTCTTAACCCTAATGTGGCTGCAGATTGCCTGGGGACATGTTGGTTCTGATCCAGTAGCTCTGGGCATAGAGCTTAATAATCTGCTGCTGCTGGTCCACAAATCCCATTCTGAGTAGCAAAGCTGAGGGTTAAATGTGGTTTTGGGGAGAAGTTACTCATATTTTCTATACAGTTGACCCTTGAACAACAACATGGGGGTTCAGAGCACTGATGTCTCTCACAGTCAAAAATCCACCGATAAGTCCTAACTCCCCCAAAACTTAACTACTAATAGCCTGCCTCCTGTTGATTGGAAGCCTTATCGATAACATAAACAGTTTAACATGTATTTTCTATGTTATATGTATTCTATATTGTATTTTTAACAATTAAGTAAGCTAGAAGAAAGAAAATACTCAGAAAATCATAACAAAGGGAAAATACATTTGTATTACTGTATCTATCAAAAGAAATCCATATATATGTGTGCCCATGCAGTTCAAACTTACGTTGTTCAAGGGTTAGCTGAATGTTAGTGTTCTCATCCTTGAAATGGGTACAATAGTATATAATAAAACAGTACTACCGACATAATAACAACAGTGGGAAAATGAAACAGTAGAACACTGTGTGCATAGTAGGAGTAGGCACTCAGTAAGTATTTGTTATTAATATTTTTATTAATGGTCATTGTCGAGACCGAGGAGAACAGAAAATTAAATGTAGGGGGCGGAAGAAAGGCCAAATAGGGAAAGGGATCAAGAGAATACAAGATGTAAGACAAGGAAAAGGTTTATAAATGTTTCTACTCCCTTTGTAAACATCTCAAAGCCTAAAATAGGATTCTCCCTGCAGGTTCAACAGCCTGTAAGCTCTTCCAGTAATGTTTCTTTGGAGAGTAATAGAATCAGGACGGCATTGGTTTGCAACAACTGAACTCATCATAACATTTGTCAAAACTTGGAATGGCATCCGAACTCCAGGGAGACATAACAGGGAGAAGTGTGGAGTTTTCTCTCTGAGGCTGAGATTTCCTTTTGCCAAGTTGAGAGTGGAAGTTTGGCTGTTACATGGAGTTCTCCGTCTCTCATCACCTTGTGTGGATCGGCTGAACTTTTCAGGCTTTCTAGTGGTTCCCTTTCAGCCGTCCAGGCTCTGTGGCTTTCAGGTGGTAGAGTACCCAAAAGAATGGGAAACACGAAGCAATCTGAAGCTGCCATAATAGGGGTAATTAATAAGCATTGCTGTTATCAATACGGCTTCCAACACGGTAACCAGAGCGAACTATTAAGAGAAAAATCCAGTCGGAGCAGCAGAGGAAAATAAGGTCCCTGACCAGATCAGTACAAACACATGTGGAATAACTAAGGTGCCAAAGAACTTTCAGACTTTAGATATACATTTTGCCCCAGAGAAAAGCTCTCCCAGGCCAGACTCCTCTGCTGGCCCCCCTTCCTTTTGGCCTCCTGCGCGAAAGCCTGCTCTATATGGCGGGGCTCTCCGTCTGCAAAAGTCGACAACCTGTTCTGTAATTCAGAACAGCTGTGTGTTGCCTTTCCCAAATTCCAGGCTTTGCCCTTTCGCTGATTTCAATTAGATAGTTTCTGGGCCATCACACCCATGTGGGCTGGACTGGGAGAGTGTGGAGCAAAACCCCACGGCTCAGGTCAGGAATGAAGGCTCTTAGCTGATGACACACTCTCCCTTGCTAATGCATTTGTAATCAAATTCAACCCGAGGACATCAGGCGCCGCTTGGCAGGTGCAGGCCGGACCACTGCAGATTTCATTCACAGACACGGCCCCTTGGATTTTTCTGATTTCTAGCCCCTCCAGCCAATCTGTTCTCCCAGGGAGAGACTCCTGGAATTCTGCCATGAGATGAAAACTACCCATATAGCTCAGGCCAAGTTGTATGCCTTTGCTTCCCCTTACCACCTTAGTGGAGATGGAAAACAGAGCTTTCAAATGAAATGAAAATGATTGAGCCATTGTTGCTGACCGAGATGTGAGAGAACCAATAAGGATTAGAGGAATGGGGTTATTTTTTTTTTTTTAATTTCTAGGAGAGAGAGAGAGAGAGATAGAGAGAGAGAGAGAGAGAGACAGCATGAGCAGGGGAGGGTCAGAGAGAGAGGGAGTCAAAGACTGAAACAGGCTCCAGGCTCTGAGCTGGCAGTCAGCACAGAGCCTGACGCGGGGCTCGAACCCACGAACCGCGAGATCATGACCTAAGCGAAAGTCGGACGCTTAACCGACTAAGCCACCCAGGCGCCCCTGAATGGGATTATTTTTGCATGCAATCCTGTGGAAGCGAAGGATAGCAACAACAACAGAATTGGGCAGCAAGGAATCCAAACACTTTGAGCCAAATATCCTCCTATATAATGAAGAAATTCACATTTAATGAGTTCAAAGTGATAAACCCTCCATTACTTTCCTAAGTTTCCAATTCCAATCTCTGGTCATGAAAAGATGACCTAAAAATCCTAAGTTTTGATGTACTGAGTTACCTAAGCAAAAATCACCTAAACTGATGTTAAAGTCATGTTTTACTCTCATTAAAAACAGAGACCAGGGAGGGAAATAATGCAGACCTCACTTGTGACTGGCAAATTTATTAACCTATATCAAGAGAGTCATGAGAAGTATGATCTGAACTCAAAAACAAACAAAAATTTTAGATTGGCAACATGGTTCAAATGAGCAATTAGTGCATGAATCTTTTGTGCATGACATAATGATTCTTGGTAACGGCAGCCTGATCAGAGGATTCCACAGTGAGTCGAAATGGGGAAACTCCCTAGAAAATTGAAGTTGCCTGATAAGACACAGCAAACCAGAATCAAGGGCCCATGCCTGAATTCCAGCGAGCCCACCAGAGACTGTTCATAGTTTCTGAATCTATCATTTGTGAGTTAGAGCTTAAGGAAGAAAAAAAAGGACAGGAATTTTCCTAGGGAACACCCATGAATATTTTCCATATCTACTCTGGGTCATTTGCACAGCAACTTTTATTTTTGTTGATGGGAATTATTTCCACAGAAATAGGTAAAATGGAGGGTATGCTATTTCTTGGAAGTATTTCATCCATTTAGTAAATATTCAGTGCCCAGAGCATATACTCTTCTAGGCACTGGAGAATAGCAATGCATAGCAGAATTTATTCTTTGAGACCTCATTTTCTTAAACAGATCCACTTCTTATGATATTCAAGTATTATAGGAGTCATTAAGACATTAAAAATCACAGAATAATGTCAGAAAATCTACAGTTTAAAAAAATCCTTTGGGGCATTATTATAAGCTATTTGGATCACTGAGTCTTAAGAATAAATCAGTAGAGAAAAGTGGATCGCTGCAAAAATTTTCTTTGGAAATTACCAGTACTGATGAAATAACGACAGTGGCTATTGATCTCTATGGTACAATACCCATTACAGTTTCTGTCAGTTACACAGATTTTATTGATGCTACAAGGCGCAAGATACATGAAATAGAACAACATAGACTTCCTTTTCTTAAAGGGAGAATATCTTGCTTTGCAAAGCTAATTGGAAGTGAACAATTCTTTTCTACATATCCTTAAGAGTTTCTAGGAAAAAGGAGTAAAAATCCAGTTGCCCCTCATTAAGATCATTTTTTAAATGATTTATGCCTATTCACAATAAAGTTAAAGTCTAACGTACGGATAATTTCTTTAATTAAAGTTGAACGATGGGATGAGGCAAATCGGATTTGCCCTTTGTCTCACAAAAATAATCCTTTTTCTTTTTTTGTCTCTTTTTTTTTTTTTTTTAAATGGTATGCCCGCTTTCTATATTATTTGCCTCTCCCTTGGTCCGTATGTACCTTAACCTTTTAACTTGTTCCAGTTTCCCATACTGGGGGTTTTAGGGGTATGAAATTAAAATATCAACTCAGAGGTGCCTCTGAGCCATGAGAAACATGGCTTGAAGTCTTGAAATGAAAAACCCAGAGTTTTGGCCTAAATCCCACTTCTGAATTGACATGTAATCTCTGGCCAGTTACCAAATTTCTGTTTCTAAATGTATTTAAAATAAAACTAGTTGCACCTGCCTAAGCGAGACACTGGGGAAAACCTGATGCTGAAAAGCATGGCATCTCTCCTGAAGAAGTTCGTACCACTCTGGCAATACCCGAACATTCTGGGCTTGGAAAAGTGACTGTCTGTCAAGGCTGAGCAGAGCTGCGTGGTGCTCTACAGCAAACCACATGTCTCATGCTGATGTTAATGGCTCTGTCTGGCATTTTCTCAGGAACAAATTTTTCTTTCTTGACCAAACTTCTGATATCCATGGGATAACCTTAAGCCCCCTAGAATGTTCCCAGAGGATATGGTCCACACTTAGAACTCTTAACAGGACTGCCTTGAAGTCAGAACCCATGGAGCAACAGTGACCCCCAGTGGCCAATGGGCTGGTCTTCTTAACCCCAATTTGTGCTTCTAAGAAGAGGTGAATAATTACACAGTGGAGTAATTACATCCAGTTCATCCTGGTGGCAATATTAAATAAATCAGTGCTCCTTGATGTGCTCATTTTTATTTTAACAACGAAGTGTAAATATCGCTATAGCAGTGGTAATAATGTGTCTGTGTTAAATAGGGTTTGTTAGGGTTCATTATGATTAACATAAAATCAAGAACAAATGGTTTTTGTTACAATCCTGTTATTGAAAACACCCTAGGATGTATTAATCCCCTGTTTGGCAACTAAATTGTTTTTAATGCAGTGATTCTGGCTTAGGTAACTGGATTCAAATACCCACTCTACCACTTACTAGTTATTTGACTTCAGACATGTCATTTAAGCTTTTTGAGACTATTTCTTTATTTTTAAAATATTTCAAAAAATGGTAGTTTTGCTATAAGGAGTACAGATACTATATATAACATGCCTGGCACATAGCAGGTACTTAATAAATGATAACCATGTTGATGATGATGGCATCGGAATGCTGAACGGGTAATGAAGCCAGGGCATTATAAAGTTGTTGAAATGAATTCATTAGGTATGTATCTTAGTGATGAATGGGTAAGAGCAGAAAAGGAGTTCCACCTGACTTATGTGTTCTTCTCCCATTTCTTTTCTAGTCTTTGAAGCCATCAAACCATGCTACCATCCAGAGTATAGTGAGAGCTGTGGGAGTCGTTCCTGGAATTCCTGAGCCTTGCTGTGTGCCAGAAAAGATGTCCTCCCTCAGTATCTTATTCTTTGATGAAAATAAGAATGTGGTACTTAAAGTGTATCCTAACATGACAGTAGAGTCTTGTGCTTGCAGATAACCTGGCAAAGAACTCATCTGGATGCTTAATTCAATTATTAGTTTATTTAATGGACCCCCCTTTTTTTTGCACTGCCAATGCATTTCATCCCAAAAGATTTTTATAGTCAGAGAGAATGAGCAAATAGACTGACGATTTCCATCAAGGAGAACTGAGGTGCATTTGTCTCTGAATGTAACTATATGCAAGATTTTGGTAAATATGGACATTTATTTCTTTTTTAAAAATTCACAAAGGAAAAATGATAACTCCAACTGTTTTTTGGAGCTATTAGAGGACACACTGATTTATTTTTGTAAGGGGCTTTGAAAATAGGTTGGAAAAACACCAATAGCTTATCACTTATCTCTACTCATAGAGAATAGACAATTTCCATATTTTGAGGTAGGCTTATTGCCATAGATTCCTGAGCAACTCAGCAAGTGCTAAATAATCCAATCAACTTTTAAGTTTATCTTAAGATTTGTTAAGACTCTTGTTTACCTGTGTTTTTCCTCCATGTGTAACTGTATGCATAGACGAGTGGAGAGTGTGTGCTGAGTGTTAGAGTATATGCATGTGTGTACATTGCCAGGTGCCTGTGCCGTCTCTAGGAAGATTTGCTTAACATGGTTTTATAAGTCAGTCTACACAGGATTCTTTGTGTTTTTCATTTCATGTTCTGGCAAGCACCATTCTATTATGAGAACTTTACCAAAAAGGACAGAGCGATCCAAGAGCATATGCAGAGAGTTACCACTTGGCCCAGCCATTTAATTTGAAATACAGTTGTTTTCATTTCATTGCCTCTTAGAAAAGGGAAACTGCAACCCAATTTTCAAAAACCCAGATGTACCTCCTCTTCTTTTTCACAAATACCTTCATTTGTTCTTTTAAATTGAATTCAGAAATTCAATTAAATTTTTTAAATTAAATTAAAATTTTGGTTCTCTTGGTATGCTTTTACTTCTTATGAAGTAATCCATAGATACCCAAGCTCAAAAATGGATGGAATATTGGAGATTTCTTGAAATGACCAAGTTAATCACAATCACATCTCGAATATCATTCTTCAGCCACATCCAGGTCCAGGCACCTTTTCACATGGATCAAGGTTCAGCCATGAAATCTATACTTTGGCAAAGCTCACTAATAATTATTCACTGAAAAAAAAAGGAAGCCAAATATAGACACTTTGATTTTTCCCCACTTCCATTTGTCGTAAATATCCTCTTATACTTTGTCCTTGAAAATGTGTTTCAAAAATCTCTCTCTCACCATATTCACATGCGTGACAAAAATGTTTTCAGACCATGTCTGTGGCCAAACCGCCTCTTAGTTGTATCTCCCCAGATTAGAGACAACTAGCCATTTCAGAGGCTGTGAAGTATCAGAAGATGTAGGGTTTGGTTCTGTCTCTAGCTATAGCTACCTATCCTGGTTCATCATGTAATAAATATTTATTGAGCATTTATTTTGTAAAAGGCACTGTGTTAATTGTGTGTCTTTAGTATCTTCACTGGTAAAATGAAGAGGTTGACTAGTTGAGCCAGAAGACCTTTCTGATACTGAAAGCTTGGGTTTTATACGAGCTATTTTGAACGCATTTTCCTTGAATGGATGATATTGACAGATCTAAAAATATTGCAAATATCTCTGTTCATAAACCGAAGGCAAGAACATTCTAGTCTTCAGTACTTGGTAGTGAGTATGGAATTCTCTGTGGCTTAAGTAGTGTTTCTAATATTTCTAACTTATTTGGAGATCCATTTGAAGAAGATTACCATGAAAGAAGCGCTTTGACACTTTTGGAAGATGCAGAGGTTGATGCGAGTATATATTAACTACATGAATGAGACACACCAGTTAGAGTGTTAAGCTCTGGTGCCTGAGTTACTATGGTTTCTTATAGTTAACTTTTTTATTCTGGTAACATTATTTTAAATACTCAAAATGAGGTACGAAATGGACTTAATAAACTTTATCAAAAATTTGAGGGTCACCTGGGTGGTTAAGTGTCTGACATAGGCTCAGGTCATGATCTCATGGTTCATGAGTTCGAACCCCACGTTAGGCTCTGTGCTGACAGCTCAGAGCCTGGGGCCTGCTTCAGATTCTGTGTCTTCCTCTCTCCCTCCGCCCTTCTGCCCCCCGTCTCTCGCTCCCTCTCTCTCAAAAACATTTATAAATAAATAAATAAACAAATGAATAAACTTTATCAAAAACTTCAAAGCAAAATTATGTAATAGAAGTTAGCCAGTGTGTGGCCATTGTATCCTGGTCACACCATCCTTCAATAAAGAAAACATCTTTTTCATTGGCAGATATGAGGAAATTTTTAATTTAGCTTTTTTTCTAGAGATATATCAACCAAGATCTCTAGCTGTTCCCAGCATTACTTTTCAGCCTTCAATCCAGATATCTGTTTGTTATCTTTCTTAATTTTAACCAATGCCTACTTACTACAGATTAAATCCTACAATGGCCAGGAAAGCCTCACAATAATAAAAATTTCTAAGTACAAACTAAGATTTGATTTTAAGTAGCAACTTATATAACAAAATTACAAGACAGTGAATAAGCTTGGGAGTCTCTTAGCAATCAAAATATTTTTTGACCAGTCATTATGGCTGTGTGGCCTCATAACCATCATTTCACTACTACACTGAGGACATATTATTGTATAAACAGGGAAAGTTTTATTCCCTCAAAATAAAAGAATCTTATTTTCAGTCAAGAGTGTTGAAGTATATGAAATGATATTTTAACTGATAAAAATTTACTTGAAATAGTTGGAAAATTAAGTGATTTTCATAATTTCTTAGGTACTAGTATGTGCATAATTTTTACATAGACTTTTTCTAAATCTCCTGATACAAAAATGGCATTGATGTAAGAAGAGAAATTAAGCTTAGAAATTAAGCTATTTCCTCAATCATGCATCCCTACCTGTCTCCCCCTCTTCTCTCCTGTTCACCGCTTCTCTTTCCAAACTGCCACCCCACCCCCACTCCTAGATGTGACACACACACACACACACACACAGTCACTTAAAAATGAACTTTCTCTTGAACTCAAATGCAGGGGCTGCTGATGTCAATATAGTATTTTCAAAGTATCTTATTGTAAGCTGTGTAGATAATATATACAATTTACAAGATTTGGTGTTGTGGAATGTAAACTGGAAGGTGAGAGTCCCCAGATCTCAGGACTATAATAGTCCAGATACATTTTTACATCCACCTAGCTATATATTAACTGATGATCATTTATTCACTTAAGATGAGATTTTTTTTATCTTATTTCTGAAAAAAGCTCTTTTTGCCTGTTTAATATTTTTATAGACAATCTTATGTGCATAATACAATTATCAGCCTGCCAGAATTTTTTCTATGATTACATTATTCAGTTTAGTCTTTCTCCTTTCACTTTTCTTTGTGTTAACAGGTAACTAATATCTGGATATTGACTTCTTGTTGAATCAAGGTAGCTGTGCACACCTGACATGTAAGACTAGGTATAAATTTAAATAAGAAATCCGGGATAAATCTGACTTCTCTGTATGGCTTTTTTTCCCCTTGAGAATCGTATTTTAATGTAGTTTATAGGCGATTAAATGCCCTCCACTTTTCTAAAACCCAAGCCTTCCTTTTGGCTTTTCACACTAGTTTCTGTAAATGTCTTAGTCCAGAATTTAATGCTTGTACAGTTAATGGCAATTAAAATATATATATATATATATATGGGAAAACTTTAAAGATGCTTTTAATTTATTTAATGACTGTTGCCTTTCTATAATGGTAATGTTCATCCTTAAATGGTGAGAAAAAAGTTCTTTTTACTATAGTTATTACATACAAAATGAAATTTGGTTCTTTAGTCAAATCCACTAAGGAACATATTGCAGTGAAACTGTGCAGGGCACTTCACTACTGATGTATAAGCTTTGCTGAATTTGTATCATTTTCCTCCAGTAATGAAGAACTTTTCGTTATACAGTATGAAAATAAAAATTGCTTAATTGAATGCTTCCCCATTCTTTTCTACTATAATTGGAAAAGACTGCATTTGTAAAACTTTTTCAACTGTGCTGCATTTGAAAAGAGGTTACAAAGGCCGGGCACGAAATTAAATATTTACAATCAGTGCCATGAATGGAGTGTCATAACCCATGATCAACAAAGCATGATTACAGTGTGGAACAACACAGAAACACACCTGGAAGGGGAAAACCCATCTTCCAACCTAGAGTAACTCAATTTGAATTCTTTGGTGTTTGGTTTTGTATTACTTGTTTAACCCCAAAGTCCCCATTTCCTCATTGGAGATATTTTTTTTCTGGGTGCCTCACCCCCTATTATTTCATCACTTAGTATCACCATGTTCTAGGTACATTTTAGGATGATAAGTATTTAAATTAATTAATCTGATCATCGAGCTATATTGCATTATTTTTGTTTATGCCCTACCTTTGTCTTTAAGAAAAAGAATGACCTGAGGTCAAGAAGTAAAATATATTTTCATATGTTTCACTCAATGTATATCAGATTTATTCAGACTGTGATGTTTAACTCAACTCTGTAGCATTTTGGAATTACAAGGCACTTTAGGGATCATGTTGAGCAATTTCTTAACCTATCTGTGCCCCATTTAACTTATCTATGGGTGACCCTGGTGGCTCAGTCAGTTAAGCCACCTTCAGTTAATCCAACTTCTGGTTAGGTCATGATCTCACGGTTTGTGTACTTGAGCCCCATGTTGGGCTGTCTGCTGTCAGTGCAGAGCTTGGTTCAGATCCTCTGCAGCCCAGTCTCTGCCCCAACCCCCCAAGGCTCATGCTCTCTCTCTTTCTCTCTTTCTTTTTCTCTCTCTCTCTCTCTCTCTCAAAAATAAATAAACTTTTAAAATGGGGCAATAAGCTTCCTGCCTCATAGGGTCGTTACAAGGTACAATAAAATATGATGTGTAAGTTACTTTGCCAAGTGCCTGAAATAGAATAAAGACTTAGTTACTATCAATTA